ATGGTTCATAGACACATGCTCATGACATAGTCGGAATCGAAAAGTCGACGCTGCATTCAGCAGGGATAGCATGGAAAGGGTTTCGTCGCTTTATTTATTTATTTAAACTATGGGGAAATGTGTATAATGCACTTTCAGGTGTTCCTTGGATGTGTAACTTTTGTTAATATGTTGAAAAGAAAATACAATCATTTTAATTCCTAACTTGACCCGTAATCCGTTTGTGAGAATCTTTCATTTCCCTTTCTAAACCACTGGGTTTTTCATTATCCTTCCATTTCACTTCTTAACCCAAACTAATACATGGACTTCCATCTTTACCCGTGAACCAGTGATTTCCGGTATTACCCCACACCAAGCCCTCCAACCGACTGAGATCCTTGTAAGGTCATCACTGCAAACCCATTTCCCCAGGTGACCTGCATCCTTAACCCACATCTTATTCCCACCCAAATCGAACATTAACAGGATTACCCTGAGGAGCTGACTGAAGTTGCTGACGTGTCAATACACGTTACCGTATCACGACCATCCTCATCTTCATCTTTATGTGGAACAGTGTCAGTATTAAACTCTGATTTTTGTTATGTACAGTTGTTTCCATATGCAGGATAAACAAAAAAACAAAATACATCAAATTGATTTTTTTATTTGATCCGGGTTTCTACAAATATGTATGAATAATACGAAAGCATTGTTCACAAGTGGGAACATAACAGGGAATGACTCATTAAATATACATTCAACATTTCTCTTGATATATGAACACGCATTCCTTCCTGTAACACAATACATTATTAACGTGTGAGCTTCTAAATGTTACATATTACTTCACATCAAGATTACATATTCCAGTTTCTTTTCCTAGAGGAACCCTTCAGCTTTCTTAGATGACAGGTAAAGGCATTGTTTCCAGCCCCTGACCTAAATGGTGATAACGTATGACATGAATAAAATGTCTGTATTCACATTGGAATAATTTAAACTAAAATTACACATTTACGTACAACGGAGTTCACAATTAACAAACGTATTTTACAACATAGTTACCTTTACCGGATAGTCTATTTGCTGTTACACATCGACAATATACACATAATATGAAAGGAGATTCTTAAGAAAGACATTATTATTCATGACTGAAACGGTACGCCATTCAAATGCCATAACGGTTTAAAGACTACGAAAATATTACTCTATTAAGCACCTCTGTGAAACGTTATGGGAGTCGTTAGACGTTAGACGTGTATGTTGGCAAAATTATATTTTGCAAAAAAATCAGTTGCTTTGCTCAAACCGTTCAGACATTCGTAGCTTGTGTTTAAAATGGTATCTATAAAATGAAAGTACAAAATTGTCAGAAATAACCTGTTTCGATGCTGATTTGAAATATAATTCAACTCCTCACAGTAATATGCCGGTATAAAAATAGTGCCATGCCAGATAATATGCAATATTGATCTTGTTCTTTATTAGATAAAGATACGTTAATGATTATGACACTAATGCTAGGTTACCTGAGCGACTGGCATTATTCTTTTAAGTACATCATATGTATGACATGAATTGAGTCATTTCCCAGTGCAAATGTCACGATGTCGAAGCCCCCTTCTCATTGTAGTACTCATAGGGCAATCATGGTGGATTAAAGGAGCGGTCAAGTTGTATTGTGTACATAAACAGCGCTTATCTTGACAAAACAGAAATAATGCCAGATCTGTTGTCTCGGAGTAATCCATAACTGTCTAACATTGGTCAAATGGGTTGCTTTTAGTAATTAATAATACATAATTAAATAAATATTACTTCTATTTTGTTGTGAACTATCATGTGTCGAATTCGTTTGTAAAATGCTAAAGAGGTTTAAATTTTGAGACAGTTTTAATATCTTTATAATAAATCATTACAATGACATGTTTCTTTTGCCATTAGACTGATATCCACCCACACACCCACACACCCACACACCCACACACTCACACCCACACACCCACACACCCACACACTCACACACACCCACACCCACACCCACACCCACACTCACACCCACACACACACACACACACACACACACACACACACACACACACACACACACACACACACACCCACACACTCACACACTCACACACACCCACACACTCACACACTCACACACACCCACACACTCACACACACCCACACACCCACTCTTCCTTACTTCCTGGTTATGGAAAAGCCGTCTTGAGTTCTAATCGGGTAGGATTATAAGAGTTTTAAAAATATACACAATTGATATGCTATCTTAATCTTAAGCTTGGGTTGTGAGCCACCGTCAGGTGTAAATTGAATCTATAATATGGTTTCATTGAATATGTTTATGCATGTACTTGAGTTGAGTCGGGGTGACGTTCATCGTTCTACAGGTAATCAGTTTCTTGTTATTTTTTTTTTATGTTTCCTGTTTTCATTAGACCTTACAGTGGAAACTGAATGAATTGAGAACATTCTCTTTCATTCTGACATTATAAAAGTACAATTAATAGAAACTCTTATTGAAAATAGATAGCAATGGACAGATATATACTGCACAAATATACAGAATTTTACTTAGATGTTGATATTGACAGCCACAGTTCCAGGACCACCATTACATCAGTTCTACTGCTACTACCAGTACTACTGTAGCTACTGCTACAACTAATGTTACTGCTGCTACTAGTCTTACTGATGCTACTAGTCCAACTACTACTGCTACCACTGGTCCTAGTACTGCTGCTACTGCTACTGCTAGTCCTACTCCTGCCGTTACTTGTAGTCATACTGCTGCTTCTGCTACTACCAGTCCTAGTGCTACTGCTACTGCTACTGCTACTACCAGTGTCACTGCTTCTGTTGCTGCTACTACCAGTGTCACTGCTTCTGTTGCTGCTACTACTCGTCCTTCTGTCTGTGCTACTGCAGCTACTACTGATACTTCCACACCTATTGTTTATGCTGTTCCTGCTACTAATCCCACTATAGCTACTGTTATCGGTGCTACTACTAATACTGTTACTGCTGCTGTTGCTACTATTACCGCCGGTGCTACTACTACTGTTACTGCTATATCTACTACTACTACTACTACTACTACTACTACTACTACTACTTCTACTACTACTACTACGACTACCACTACTACTACTACTACTACTACTTCTACTACTACTACTACTACAATAAATACCCTACCATTACTATTGTTGCTGCCAATATTTCTATCACTGCTTCTACAATGACTTGTGTTACTTATAACACGTCTTTATCTACTACTACTACTTCTACTATTGCAACTACTACTACTACAAATACTACTCATACTACGATTAGTAGTAATACTGCTGCTACTCTTACTGCTACTGCTACTGCTACTGCTACTGCTACTATTACTACTATTACTACCACTATTACTACTATTACTGCTACTACAACTACTTGTTGCTGCTACTACTACTACTGGTACTTTAATCACTACTACTACTATTAGTTTCACTACTGCAACTACAACTACTACTACTTCTACTACTACTGCTTATACTACTACTACTACTACTGTTACTGTTACTGATGCTTATTCGTCTACCCCACTACCACCATTAATATCACTACTTCGACAACAAAGGAGTCCCTACCCATAATAACAAAGAGCCGGTCCCTAAAGCACCACAGCTACCACTACCACTACGACTACTAATAGCACTATTATTTTGATTTGTATTACTACAATTAATACTAATACTAATACATCTACCACTACCACTATCATTATTATTATTATATTATTATTATTATCATTATTATTATTATTATTACTACTACTACTACTACTACTACTACTACTACTACTACTACTACTACTACTTCTACTACTTCTACTACTACTACTACTACTACTACTACTTCTACTACTACTACTGCTGTTGCTGCTCCTGCTCCTACTACTACCACTACAGCTACCACTACCACTATTATTATCTTTACTACTATTACTACTACTACTACTACTGCTGCTGCTACTACTACTAATACTACTACTGCTACTACTACTACTTCTATTACTACAGCTACCACTACCGCTATTATTTTATATTCTTACTACCATGTTAGGACTAGTGCTGACACCTCCACAAGCTACAACTATCCCTGTCTCTACTACTACCACTGCTGCTGCTGCTACTTCTACTAATAATAATAATAATAATCATCATAAAAATAATAATAATAATAATAATAATAATAATAATACTGCTAAGGCGACTCTACTGTTGTTGGTACTACTGATACTACAGTATAGCTGCTGCTACTTTCAATCGAGAATACAAGATACTACTACCCATAGCATAGTATGGAGTTACCAAATATTTTAATTTGTTATATTCCCGCTTTTATAGCTACTAATGTTGTTGATGCTGCTGTTCTAACTACTTCTACATCACTGCTGCAACTATATCTACGATACAATTGAGTCAACCTTTGTAGCAGTTACCCGCCATATGAAGTAGCTACTACTACTACCACCACCACCACTACTACTACTGCTACTGTTGATGCTGCTACTACTACTGCTACTACTACTACTACTACCACTACTACTACTGCTACTGTTGATGCTGCTACTACTACTGCCACTGTTGCTGTTGCTACTACTACTGCTACTACTACTACTACTACTACCACTACTACTACTGCTACTGTTGATGCTGCCCTTACTACTGCTACTGTTGATGCTGCTTCTACTACTGCTACTACTACTACTACCACTACTACTGCTGCTACTGTTGATGCTGCCCTTACTACTGCTACTAATGCTGTTGCTACTACTACTACTGCTACTACTATTACTACTATTACCACTACTACTACTGCTACTGTTGATGCTGCCCTTACTACTGCTACTGTTGATGCTGCTTCTACTACTGCTACTTTTGATGGTGCTTCTACTACTGCTACTGTTGCTGTTGCTACTACTACTTCTACTACTGCTACTACTACTGCTACTGCTACTGCCTCTGCTGCTACTTCTACCATACCTACTACTACCTGGAGCGACTACTACCCCTCACCATATAATAGGGTTACCAACCATACCGGCTAACTACGACTACTGCTGCTACTGTTACTACTGATACTGTGGCTGTTGATATCATCACTCTTGATAATACTCGGTAATTTTAACAAAGGTTACATAAGATTTCCCTCATGGCCAAACAACAAAACAACTTCGATCCATTCTTAGCTATACAAAATACACGTGACAAGGATGTTATGATGATGCCTATTACGTGTTGTCTCTTATATTACATAATCTTTGATGTACTTGGATTGTATTTGCATGAAGAAGAATACCCCCTAGTCCTAACTATCTATATATTTAACACTTCTACTGATAAGCCACACTGATATTATCTGATTCTGTGTTGCTTTTTACATACATATTTCACGCGACGTGTTTCGTTTTTCCAAACATTTTTTCAACATTCAGCGTGAATGAGTGAGTGAGTGAGTGAGTGAGTGTGTTGGGTTTAACGCCACTTTCAACATTATCCGGTTACATCCCGACATGCCAGATTAATGTGGGAGGAAAGCCCGAAGTGATGCTGGTCTCAGACATTTACCACTATGAAACCTACGAGCACGGGTATGTAGCTAACAAACCATGAAACATAATCGTGGCGAACCGAGATTCGAACCCATGATCATAGGTTTCTGGTGTGCCCAAGGGACGCAACTCTGCACAGTGAATTGCGGCGCCCTAGACAACTGGCCGCTCTCCAAATATAGAAAATGAGTACCGACATGAAATAGATAGTGTTATTGGGTACATAAGGATCAAACTGCAGGTGGTAGGTGAAACATATGGTTTCATTCACTACCGTTGTTCATTGTTGTCTACAGCCTTGTTTGACCTGATACATTTTTGTCCTGAATATGGGACACTATAAAGGGTTTATGCATTTTCTGCTCATGTTATCACATAAGGATTACTCAAATCATGATCATTTTATTAGCGTCGTATAAAAGATTCAAGTGATTCATTATGTGATAATGTGTAGGTAGGCATTCGCTTCAATGCTCCAATTATTGATCCAAACAAATATGTGAATCACTTCACTGGTGTAGCTCCATTGTAACTGTTATAAAATTAATGTCACTATTTGCACTGCAGCGTTTGCTGATAAGAGGCCAAATAAATCCCATTTCAGCTTCATTATCGGGTCGGACTGCTGAAATAAGAAAACAAACGTGCTAGCACATGGTGTACGACGGGTATTTCTATGAAAGAATTATAATCTAATTACCTTTTAAGAGTCAAAATGATTTAAATCAGAAAAAACTGCTCACGAAATATAAATTTTACATGTACAATTTGCATTGAATGGTATACAAAGTCAAATATAATATATACTACTCGTTCTCTATTCATTTAGATAACTGTGTCATCTTCTCAACATAGTGGTAGGCACCATTAAAACCCAACTACATCAAACTGACAATAATACATTTGTCTACTGTCTACTGTACTAAACACAGTAAAAGATTGTTTTTTACTAAGATGAAATGCACTATACAGCTAGAGGTACTATTGGACAACAACTACTACAAACTAAATTGTCTATTCTATGTATGCTAATCTATCACATCGACTAAACTATCGTACATACCACTTCCTCCGTTTCCAAAGGAATGTTCGTGCCCTCCTTCATTTGTCTGTGAACATTATCCAGGAATAAAACGTAATTGAATAAAAATTGTATCATAATTGCAATAACCGACTCGTAGAATGAATTAAGATATGAAACATTGTAAATCACCGTATTACATTTTGTCATAACATTAATAATCATGAATATTTGCTATTCCATTAATATTGTATGTCTCATTTAAGAAAGATGAGTACAGATATCTTCAAATTGGATAAATAACAGTTAGAGTATATATTTTCCAGCAATGGTGCTAATTCCTGTTTTCGCAGTTCCTATGTTTAGAACAAATTCCGTTGCTAACATGAATTATATGACAGTTGATGCTCTCCAACGTGATTTCATGATTTAAAGAATAAAAACTTCTTTTTCCATCATGAATAATGTCATGTTCTTTATACACAATGTTAATTCCGTGTCCTACGGATCCTACGTTCGCCTTTTACATACGCCCACTATGCCTTTGTTAAGCACATAAAGTAAAAGATCAACGTGTAAATTGTTTTCATTCATTCACAGTTCACTATCGCAGAACCAATCCCAGTTCTACTTTCTGAGAGCTCTATACCACCATTGTGAATAAAAAGAAAACCATATATCTAGAAATTGAACTCGTATTGCTTCTACAGAAACTATTCAGTAGCATATATCTTACATCTATGACAATATTGATTCAGTGTTTTGATTCCCTTCATGCCTTTCTCGATTGACACGATATTCACTTCTCATATATGTAAACACACTTGTCAATACGTGTACCTACTTATTGGTAGTAGGTAAAACATTATTTACATTGTATGTAATAAATTACCTCTATGAAATAGATATATGTACACCAACGGTTTTGCATTTCAACACTTATTATGAAATGGCTCTCCTGTTTCCCTATTGACTTGCCCATGCGAATTTTATTTCTGGTATCCTGAAGTATAGATATCACTTGCAAAAAATAGCAACGTACACGCTTAAAATGTTAATATTTTTTTTATTATGACAAATTCTCTAGCCATTTTTTCAGTCGCAGGTTTCACTAAATCCCTTTTCTGATACCTAAGCCCCACAGGAACCGGAGAACTATTAAAAGGATATAGTTGTTACATTAGAACAAATTATTACCCTATCAATTGTTTATTGGCAGACAGGATATCCTGTAAAGAAATTTCAGCAATAACTTAATCTTTTTCTATCTTGTATTCTTGTCGGTAAATTTACACGTTGAGCCTTCTTAGCCTTTTTGTGATTCCAGAAACCCGTGAAAGAAGCAGTTGTAATCCCATTACTTGTAACACTAAACAGTGTTTAAAACGACTCCTCTAAACAGAGGAGTCGTACATTAGCACTGGAGCTGGATGTAGTGAGGTCAACACATTTGTACTCGAAACAACGTAACGATAAATTATTGATAGTTTCTTCATATACTTGTGTATGTGCAGATAGTTGAATCTGTTTGCACTGTGAGAGTTCGATATTCGGCATTGCTAAGTTCTACAAGCATACGAATGTACGTGAACGTGTTGTAAAAAGCTCGTCAAAACTCTTTGCGCGTTACATTTCAAACCAAATACACGTTATAGTGGATATTCGTGTCTTAGAAGTAATGATACACAGAAAAAACAGTTACATATCAGTATTTCCAAACCTGGTAAGTATGCACGTCATCAACGTAAACCATGAATGGTGGACCTTTGTTACCTGGATATATGACACCCCCCCCCCCCCCCCAATCTATATCTTTAAAAGGGCTTTGCTTTTGGAATAATGAACTCCTGTGTTAAGTACGTTTGTATACGATTCCCTGACATCATTATGTATTAAGACATTCTGTTCTAAGGTACAATTCATCCTTATTAATGTATATATGGCGTGTTTAAGTGTTTTTGAACATGTAATTTTAATCTGTGGAATTAATTATATTTATTATACATATTCATACATTTCTGCATGATTTTAATTGATATAAAATAACCACCTTTCCATATACGTAAAAAGTATAACCTCTCTTGTTGCTACTCCTGTGTAACACGGGTATTTGTTGTTCCATCTTTAAGAAAGACGATGGATAATCGCGAACACATTTCACATTGCAGTCGAACATTGTATCAATATGGATGATGTATCATACAGCTTCCTCGAACTGTGTAGACAATTCAATAGTTTCACAATAACACACCCCCCCCCCCCCCCCCCCCCCCCCCCTTCCCCCCATTCCTACGCTTATAGGAACATCCGTCAGTATTTGTTGGTGCCCATTGTGTTAGTATATGTTCCTATTACCTTGTGCTTGCAACAAATTGTGACACACTTGATCGGGAGGTCTGCTTGGTTGGTTATGTTCCAGTGTTTAGATAATCAATTGACTTGCCTTTGCATGTGTTTGTGACGGGTGCCACCGGTGGAGCTGGATACGCTCACCTTTACGCGAACACCTGGTGTCATCACTATTTGATAATTCATATGATTGATTCATAAACACGTGCTCATGATATACTCGGAATCATACTATCGACTCTGCTTTCAGAAAAGATTTCTTATGAATATGGAAAGGGTTTTTCTCGCTTTTATTTTATTTGACTTCGTTGAATGTTGCTCATAATTTATCAGCTAGTCTGGTTTCTCTGCCCCATGCTAGCTTATATACAGGCCGCCGTGATATAGCTGGAATATGTCTGCGGCTTAAAACAACAAACAACGTCTATTATATATTGGTCACAATCACAAACGCCTTCATGAAGGTCAACCTGACAAACTGACATCCTACACGACACCATTAAAGCGAATGTTCTCGGATTAGTAGGAAGAACTATATATACCCAAAGTAATTTCTTCTTGATCAAGTATTCATTTCATCCTTTGATACGTGAACTAACGAATCCTGAGAGTTACCACGACCAATAAATGTTGTTTTTGCCTTCTTCAACAAGTATGGTTATTCTTTTCATAATCAATAAAGCTATTTCTAAGTTCTTAGGAAGTAAAGGGGACTTCGTGGCATGGTGGAAATTAACAAGATATCTCCGTTGAGAGGTTCTTAAATAGGAAGAGGTAAGACCGGGTCAAACTGAACCTAAGCTGCTATAATTCTTCACCCTAATAGGAATAAAGGGATGCAGTGTAACCAATGAACTTACTGTTCTAGTGTGCGTTGAAAGGAATATATAAACAGTAACTACGGGTAACAAAATGACATGTCCTTTACGAAACGTCCATTGTGACTAGCTTCCGAGTCCAGAAAGCTTACGTTCTGAATACTTAATATAGGATAGGAAAGAGGGATTGCCCTTTTGCGCATCGTATTTTTTTAATCCTTACACACTTTAATTCTAAAAAGGAGGTTTTAAATTGGATGGTGTCCTTTGTAGGAGTGATTTACAAAGAATCCTTTTGAGGGAGGATTTGATAACGTAAATCTTTGGACTAAGATAATGATCAGTGTGGAGGTTAGGTTACACAGTCAGATTTTATGACTAGTGATTGAAGATGTGCCCCTTTTCCTCGTCAACGGTTTAGTCATGGTTTGACTTAATGTTTGGAGTAGGTGGTAGAGGGCCAGGTTAAGTATTCGCACGATTCGTCATTCAGGTACAGTAGGTGAAGCCGGTTCTTGGTCGACCCTTCAGTTATTACAATGTAATAATACTGAAATCAGCGTGGCTCTTTATTTACCGTTGTTAAACTATGGACTTGTTCACACCAACTCTTTCTTTTACATTTTGAGTTGATTGCGTTTATACATGTCACTGTCGATGATTAGAAAGGATGGTGATGATGATGATTATCAACTCAACGGAATGAACGCCCGGTTGCCTGTCGGTTAATGGAAGTCGGATATGGTGTTTCTGGATGTATGTGTGTCTGCAGGTGTGGATTGTTAGGTGTGTGTGTGTGTGTGTGTGTGTGTGTGTGTGTGTGTGTGTGTGTGTGTGTGTGTGTGTGTGTGTGTGTGTGTGTGTGTGTGTGTGTGTGTGTGTGTGTGTGTGTTCTACGGAATATGTTAAGTAAGTAAGCAAGGAATGTGTGTGGGTGTGTGAGTGTGTGTGTGGGTGGTGTGTTCTCTACGGAACATGTTGATGTTATGTAAGCATGGAATGTGTGTGTGTGTGTGTGTGTGTGTGTGTGTGTGTGTGTGTGTGTGTGTGTGTGTGTGTGTGTGTGTGTGTGTGTGTGTGTGTGTGAGAGAGAGAGAGTGAGTGTGCTCTACGGAATATGTTGTGTAAGGATGGAATGGATGTGTGTGTGTGTGTGTGTGTATGTGTGTGTGTGTGTGTGTGTGTGTGTGTGTGTGTTTGAGAGTGTTTGTGTTTTTGTATGTGTCTATCTGTGTGTTTGTGTGTGTGCATGTGTGTGAGAGTGAGTGGGTTTTGTGTGTGTTTGAGAGAGAGAGAGTGTGTTTGTGTGTGTGCATGTGTGTGAGAGAAAGAGTGTGTTCGTGTGTGTTTGTGTGTGTGCATGTGTGTGAGGGAGAGAGTGCGTTTGTGTGAGTAAGAGTGTGTGTTTGTGTGTGTGCATGTGTGTGTGAGAGAGAGTGCGTTTGTGTGAGGGAGAAAGTGTGTGTGTGTATGTGTGTGTGTGAGAGAGAGAGAGTGAGAGAGTGAGTGTGCGTTCTACGGAATATGTTGTGTAAGGATGGAATGGATGTGTGTGTGTGTGTTTGTGTGTATGTGTAAGTGTGAGAGAGTGTGTGTGTTTGAGAGTGTTTGTGTTTATGTATGTGTCTCTCTGTGTGTGTGTTTGTGTGTGAGAGAGTGTGTGTGTTTGTGTGTGTGCATGTGTGTGAGAGAAAGAGTGTGTTCTTGTGGGTTTGTGTGTGCATGTGTTTGTGAGAGAGAGTGCCTTTGTGTGAGGGAGAAAGTGTGTGTGTGCATGTGTGTGTGAGAAAGAGTGTGTTCGTGTGAGAGTGTGGGTTTGTGAGTGTGTGTGTGTGTACCTATGTATTTACGTGTGTGTACATGTGTGTTGTATTATTGTTGCATATCTCAGTAATGCGTAAAACATATGAAAACAAAATAT